AAATACCTGGAAAACCATCTGTGTCCCCGCCAACACCTGCTGTACCCCATGCTCTACCTCTTCGGGCGATGCCTCAGGGTTAGCAATCTCATATCGCCGCCAGACCTGGTCGCGGAGCGCGCGATCAAACTCCGTCTGCGACCGATAGTAATCCTGAATTGCCTGTTGCACTTGGTTTTTTGCGGCATCGACCTGTGCCCGCACACGAGGATCACTCGGATCCGCAAGATATCTAAGCTCATCTACCAGCGTGCGGACTTGTTGGAGTGTGTTGTTGATACTGGATCGGGCATCGTCGAGTTCCTGGCGGGCGGCTTGATCGTCTGACACAGTGGTGGAGTTGAGGAGAGCTTGCTGTGCGGAATAAAGATTAGAGTCGCGGAGGGTCTGAAGTTGATTAAGCTCGTGGGTAATTTGCTGGCGTTTGGTGAGAACGGGGGTCAATGTGTTGATTTCGAGCTCTGGTGTTCACTATTAATTAGGGCTGTTCATGTTCTTAGGGTTTGGATGGTGTTTGAGGTGGGGAAGTGTTTATTTACCATAGCCTTGTTCAAGGGCGCTGTAGTTGATATTTGTTGTTGCCATTGTGTAAATATGTCTTTTTTGGAAGGTTTAAGAAAATGATTATAATTGAAAATTGAACTCGAAATGCAAAGGTGGGTTTATATCAATGAAGGTTCGAATGAGAGTTGATTCTATTTTAAGGATGGGAATGCGGAGGCCTCAGATTTAGCGGAAGGCAGTGCTGGATCCAGTTTTCTACTCCTCGAGCCGCAGCGCGATCGACATGGAAGTAAGCACTAAAAAACCCCGAGGCAGTGCTACATCTTCTTTATTGGCTATTTCGTATCTTGAACTCGGTCTTGACCCGCATAAACCCGACCAAACATTGACAAGTGCATCGACAGTCATGTCTTACATGTCTTACACACCGGATGCGAGATGCATGTCAGTGCAGCTTGACTCACACCGTTCCTACAAAGATGCCATTTAAATAATGAGTAGGACTTCAGCTTCAACTCGGGGAATGCCCCCCCGTTAAGCAACAACTTTTTGCGTGTGAATCTTGTGGTCGATATTGATCGGAAATGCACCTCCTCCAACTACCAAACGAGCTTCTACAAGTAGTCGCAGACAACCTATCCACGGATGCAGACCTGAACGCTTTGATCCAAACACACAGTCGCTTTTACCACCTGCTAGAAACTTATTTGCTTGAGCACAATGCCCGCTATGGCGAGAGCTCTGCCCTCGTCTGGGCCGCAGCGCACGGCCAAATAGAAATAGCAAAGAAGTCACTTGGAGCAAAAGCAGATGCCAACACCCTTGGTCGCCTCCACCATTCTATCATCAAGCTCAGCTTTCGTACTTGCCCAAGCATTGCCTTGCCTTATGATCCTGTTTATGAATGGGACTTCCCCGACCGTCGGTGCAGGTCAACGCCGATCATGCTAGCGGCAGTGTGTGGACATAAGGAGATTGTTGAGCTTTTGTTCCACCACGGCGCCGACATCAATCGCGTAGTCGGCGGCGTATGTACCCCTCTACTCGGGGCGATAGGACATGGGCATGTTGATGTTGTGGAGTACTTACTAGTCAATGGTGCTGATCTGGATGTCGACCTGGATGGTTACTTCAACTATAATGCACTCGAGCTCGCAGCGCATGAAGGACATGTGGAGGTGGTGAAAGCGCTGCTCCGGCATGGAGCGGATCCCAACAAGTCCTCACCACTCGCGCTTGCAACCGGTATGGGCAGACTGGAGGCGGCGCGTGTGCTACTTGAAGCCGGAGCAGACATTGGGGGAGAAGCTGTTGACAACGTCGGGACAGATGCATTTTTCAATGCAGTGCATCGCGATAAAGCAGCAGTAGTCAGCTTGTTGATTGAGTATGGGGTCAGCCCTGAACGCAGAGACAACGACGGCATGACTCCCCTCGCATATGCCGCTTATTATAGACATGATAAGGTTATTGAAGTACTTCTGAGCCATGGTGCCAATGTTAACGCCTTGGTCCATGGCTTTACCGCGTTATCCTTTGCGATCGATGAAGGAAAGGTGCCGGCGGTAAAACTACTGCTCGAGAACGGTGCTGATTTGACCATGACGAACGAGCCATTTCTTTTACGTACACTTAAGAGAAGCCACGATCAGGAAGCGGACACCGTGATAGTGGAGCTGCTACTGAATCACAGAGCCGATCCCAACTGCTGTGACCGGAAAGGGAGGACGCCATTGTTTCTTGCTACAGTTAAACAGAATCTTGATATTATGAGGTTGTTGCTTGTGCACGGAGCCAACCCAAACCGAGAAGATGAGGAAATCAATTTATTATCATGGGCCTTTCTGAAAGGTCACGCAGACATGGTGAATTTGTTACTCGCATATGGCGCCCGTGAGTCATGGCGAAGAGGTGACCACATCATGATACATTGAGGTAAGTAAGTATTGGAACTGCTTTTGTCATGATGACTTCGCCCTGTAGTGATTCTTTTAAAACAACCTTTATTGAACTTCTGCCCAGTCTCCATCCATCTATCTTGAGAATCTCAAAATGGCAGAAGAGTTTATCTCAGCGCCGGATCTAACATCTTGGACCATTGTACTTCCGCGAGCTCCTAATACCTCTGTCTGCCAGTCCCCAACAATGCTGAGCAGTCATGACACCACTCAGCCTCCCGAATACTACTATCATGTATACAAATTTGGTGAACCAGATCCAGCCTCGCTCGAGTGCCTCAGTCAAGAGCTTCCTGCTTCGGATGACGACGAAATGTTGGATGATGAAAGCGACTTTGATAGCGAGGAGCCTCTGCCTTCCAGTGAATCTGAGTACTTTCCTGGGGGCTATACGTCGAGAAGTCAGTAGGAAGATAGGACTGACGACCTGTTATATGATTCGGCACTAACCGTGTAAAGATGCGCTCCTAGACGACAATATGATCGATGACAGCATGTCGCTAGAGACTTCCTCTTGCTCCTCAACTTCTACTGAGGGGAGCGACTGTGGCATGAAGATACTTGATGAGAGTGATATCGAGGATATCAAGGCCAGGACTCTCATGGCTATTCCTATCTACGACGTCTTGCATATCAAGCGCATCCGATCCATGATAGACAGCTTTACGCAGCAACAACTGATAGATGCTGTTAGAAAGGTCTTAGAGGTTGATAAGTTTAAGGTCAACCAACAAAGAGTGACAACATACAGTATAACATACAGCCACCCTTCATTACAACTGCGCGGTTTGATTCAAAGGCACCTTGTGAAAGAGATACCATATCCTGACGACGGGAGGGCTACCAATATCCTTTCATTCGATGACCTTGACCATAGTCTCCACGAGAAGAGTAACACGGAACTAAAGGAGCTATTGGGTGGGGCGCTCAGTGAATTTCACACGGCGAAGCTGTATGCTATTCTGGAGGAACAAATCCAAGCCTTGCCGGAAGAGACAAGAGAGCAAATTCACACAGAAGCGCGCCGGCTATTTGATGAGTCGAACTCTGCAGGAGCTTTGGGGTTAGTGAGCGAGGAGGGTGGGTTGGTGAGACTGTAGCGTGGGAAAGGTCCTCTGGTCCCTGATAGGGCCAGCAGCCTATTAAAGGGAAATTGTTTCTCTATCCTGAGCCTTGGGGAGTGTCAGCTACAGAGTAGCTATTCACGTGGTAGTGTTGTGGTGGCTTTCTTTCTTTGCTCTATTGCTTTAATTGATTATCCTCGTGTTCGGTAAATTAGCGTCAATTGATTTGGAAAGATCGCCTTGACGGTGGCTGGTATTTCAACTTTTCGTATAGACTCCCTAGATCCGATCTGTTTACTACTGGTAAAGACTCCGAAAATCAGTGTTCTGACTTAGTGGGCGATGTTGAAGAAAATGGCAGAGACAAGCGATCAAAGTAGCTCTACCCTTTCCACCCAAGGCGAGCCCAGAGATGTGTATGAATATGAGCCATTGCCCACCCCCACATCTATTAGACTCATAAAAGTGGAGGGCAAAGACGAAGATGGAGCAGTCCACGTGCGACTAAAGACCATCGACTTGAAAGATGCCCCTTGGTTCCACGCCGTCTCATACACCTGGGGAAACCCACACACTGAGCTACCCCACGTTCAAGCAACTCATGCGGCTTATTCTCAGAAGTACCCACCTGAATATCGAGAGCCTATAGTAGCAAACGGGAAACTTCTATATGTCAGCCGAAGCGCACATGACATCCTAGTATCTATGCCGAAGGATGCCTGGGCAAAGCGATGCAACCAGAGAAATCCCAACAACCAACTTCGCGCTAGTATTCATTCAGCCTGTATGACGAACAAGAAAGAGTATGTCGAGGAGCTGATCTCTGCCGGAGTTGATATAGACGTTCAAGACGAATATGGTCGAACTCCGCTGTCCTATGCTGCGAGACTTGGGAAGCTTGATTTCGTGGAACTCTTGCTCGCTGCCAGTGCCGATCTCAACATCGTTGATGGGAACAACAACCGGCCTCTCGATCATGCTCGGGAAAGCGGGGCTGAAGAGGTTATTAAATGCCTTGAAGGGGCTGAGAAAAGAAGTAAAGTGGATTGTCCTTCCATATCATGGCCCGAGGGTCCTCAGATGTGGTGTTGGGTCGACCAGATCTGTATTGATCAGAGCAATCTCGAAGAGAGAGCTTCACAGGTGTCGATCATGGACCAGATCTATGAATGTGCTTCTTACACTCTTATATGGCTTGGACTAGAAGACGATGATACCGAAGTGGCTGTTGAGACGATCCAGAAACTGTATTCTGCGAAAGGAGATCTTATTCATGCCAATGAAATCATTCCCTACACGCACCAACCCAAGGAGATATATGCCGCAGCTAATATTCCGTATGTTTCGCTGGAAGAGTGGAAGGCTCTTGCTACGCTTTTTCTACGGCCGTATCTCAGAAGACTGTGGGTGATACAAGAAAACATTCTCTCCGACACATGTCTCGGATATTGTGGAAAATTCGAGGTTCCGTGGCGGGCATTCTGTACAGTTGCCCAACAAATCTACTTCCGACAGCTCGTCTTGGGGAGAGTTACTTCAACCGATTTTATCGACATTAATAGTCCCGTGGTGGCCATAGAGAGTGAAATTGTGCATCTGACACAGTGGAAGGATCGCCTACAAAAAGGTGAACGAGCTTCAATGCCCAAAGCCCTCTCTCTAGAGAACCTTCTCTTCGAGACCTGGACCTTTCGCTCCACAGACCCAAGAGACAAGGTATTCGGACTTTACGGTCTTCTACTCAAAGCTGGACCTGTGCCCTGGAAGCCAGACTACTCGAAATCCATCGCGCAAGTCTACGCAGACACTACAAAAGAAATAATCCGGAACGCTGGTGAACTGCGCATGCTCTCTGCAGTCCTCGATCGCTCTCTCCACAACGTCCCTGACCTCCCATCATGGGTCCCAGACTACAGTGTCCCATTTGTTAACATGATGTGCTCTAATTACAACGCTGCCGGGAATCTCCCTCAGCACGCCATCCAACCCAGCCCCTGGAATGTCCTCCCAGTATCCGGCGTCAAAATCGACACCGTCCTACAAACGGGAAACACAACTTCCGGACCCAAACAGATGTCCATGTTCTTCGACGCACGCTGGTTCGAGCTCGCATTACTCCTCCCACACCCTTACCATAATGGCCAGGCCAGAACCGAAGCACTATGGCGCACATTATGCGCGGACCAGAAGAGAGGCGGATCCTTCCCAGCCCCTACAGCGTACGGGGACTTTTTCCGAAGAATGCTATGTCGACTTACCTGTGTCAAAGCAGAAGAGACCGCCAGAGCCGCTGAACACGATCCAAATCTAGTAGTACTTGAGGCAGCTCTATACCACATCCGACAAGTTCTATCAAACCCGCCAATTTCAAATCTCCCGTCCGAAGAAATTCAACGTACCTTTGGAGACCCAGATAAAAACCTCAGCAGCGCTGACCTCCAAACTCTAACTCATCTTCTTTACAAACTCCATTTTCTTGGCGTGGTGGAGGAGGAGGATCCCTGGACTCCCACTATTGATGAAATCGAGGAGTCTTACCGCAGTACTAAATGGCAGACATGGGAGGAGAGCAGTGCACTCCCGGGAGATGATATCGAATTTCACGAGGCGCTCAGAAGCAAGCTTGGTAGACGGCGTCTGTTTGTAACCGAGAAACGATATCTTGGGCTTGGTCCTGCGTCGATGCTTGATGGAGATGAGGTTTGGGTTATACCTGGTGCTGGTGCTGCGTTCGTTCTGAGACCGGTTGAGCAGGAAACGTTCAGTTTGATTGGTGCGGCGTACGTACATGGAGCCATGAATGGGGAGGCTGTTGAGCAATGCAATGCGGGCCTTTCTAGTATTTGTCTGGTCTAGGGTGTTGATTAAGCTAGCAACTTGAGCATTAGATGATATCAAGAGAGAGTGGAGTTTCTGTAGACTGAACCTGATAATGGCATCAGGAAGGATTCTCTTCGGCATTGAGATGCCTTTTGGCGTAAAGTAATTCTTCAACGAGTTTGTGATCATCATTATCTAATGAAGTTTTATGGCTTCTTGAGTTTCTTGTATTCAAGGCCTTCGAATAGGGTGAATGTAGCAATTTGCTTTGAGTTTTCCTCAATGAAGTGTTGAGTGGTTTGGGCCGAAGTAAGTATACTGTTAAAGTCCTGGTTTGAATATTGCTTGCTAAATGGAAGACCCGTCTCCTATGAAAGCGGCTACTAGGGCTAGTTGTATAATGCTACTTGGGAGAGGAGGAGTTTGGTATAGCTATACAGTTATATTGACGTAAATACATAACAGGACATTAGCAAGCTAGAGTCTAATTCTAAAAAGCAAAGCAATAAACACTGTCAATCTGTCTATAGTAATGTAGCGCGGTAAGGCCGCTTCCTAGCGTTCAAGTCTCACCGAGAGACTCTCAGAGCTTGCTAGAGAAGTAGGGAATGTTCTTCTGCTCATACAATTCCCTGTACTGGGCCTTGATGATATCGGCACCCTGTGACACGATTGATATTAGCTATGCTGCACTTCAGGAGTTTGAAGAGATTCCATGTTCTCACCTTTTCACCGATCATGTAGACCGAGTTCTGGATACGGCAGTCAGGGATGACAGGCATGATCGAGGCATCAGCAATGCGGAGGTTCTTGATGCCATGGACCCGCAACTTGTTATCAACGACACCCTGTTGGACGTTCTTGCCCAGACGGGCAGTACCACAAGGGTCTGAAAAGGGGGTTAGTTATTGCATCTCAAATTAGGCCAGGAAAGGGAATACTTACGGAATCCAGTCTGACTGCGGTCCAGGACAGCCTTGTTCATGGCCTCGTCGGAGTCGAGGGGCATGTTCCAAGGATATTCCTCAAGAACGAGATCCTTGAAGCCCTCGCCCTTGGTGAGGACATCGTAAGTCCACCTGACACCCTCACGCATGGCCAAGACGTCGAGGTCGCTGGCAAAGAAGTTAAGGTTGATGTTGGGCTGCTGGAGAGGGTCGGTGCTGTTCAGGGTAACCTCACCACCCTCAGACACGGGGCGAAGGAGATCGACAATAACGGTCATGTAGCTACCAGATGGGGGCACAGGGTAATGCCACTGGAAGGCAGAGCTGAAGAGACCAACGAAGTCGAGTTCGAAGTGAGGCTGGCCAGCAGGACCGAAGGGGTCAAGGCCACCGTTAGCAGCCTTGGCCTCGCGGTAAGCAGGGTAGCGGTTCAGGCGCTCATCGATACGAGGGAAGCCAACCAGCTCCAGGAAACCGGAAGCGGCCGGACCAGTCTTGTCGCGGCGGTAGGCAGAAACAGCAGCCTCGTTGGCCGGACCAGCGCGGTGAATGTGGTCATCAAGGGCAACACCATCCTTGAGGCGCAGGACGAAGGGCACAATCGGGTGGTCGAGCAGGTTCTTACCAACATGGGGAGAGTCAACGACCACATCAATGCCGTGCTTGTTCAGCTCAGCAGCAGGACCGATACCACTCAGAAGCAGGAGCTTAGGGGTCTCGAACACACCCTGGGAGACAATAACTTCGCGAGTAGCGTAGAGATTGAGCTCAGCACCATTGGTGGGGTCGACAACGGTCACACCAGTACAGGTTTGGGTGGTGCGGTCGATGATCAGGCGCTTGGAGTGGACCTGAGACAGGATAGTGACGTTCGGCTTGTTCTCGAGGTACAGCCAGCTACCTTGGCGCTGACCCTTGTAGATGGTGTCGACACAGTGGGTAAGACCGTGCATTTCACCGGAGTAAATGTCCTCGGAAAGCGGCTCGCCCTTGGAGGTCCAGGCAGTGGTGAGGGCATTACGGAAGGTCTCGAGCTCAGGAACAAGCTCAGCGTGGGAGATCTGGACAGGTCCACCGGTACCGATCTTGTTCAGATCAGTGGGGTAGAGCTTCTCGTCATCGTGGTAGGTAGCACACTTGCGGAGGTACTCCACACAGTTGTCCCAGGTCCAGTCACTGCCACCGAACTCATACCAGTCATCAAAAGTGGCCTTAGATCCGGGGATCCAGGTGAAGTAGTTGGCACAAGAGCTACCACCAAGAGCTTTACCACGAGTGTTAGGCTTTTCAACACGCTCATAGTCGTCACGCTTGATCATGGTAGTCTTGTAGGCCCAATCATATTGACTGCCACGGAGTCCGAAGGCCTTGGAAGGGGTGGTGATGTCCTCGATCTGGCCGGAGTTGGCGATACCAGCTTCGACAACGAGAACACGAACGCTGGGGTTCTCGGAAAGGCGACCAGCAATAGCATTGCCAGCGGT